TGCAAACAATTGGACTGTGTGAATGAGCAAAGAAATGGTGGAAGTACCAATAAAAGTGTCAACACTGTTCATAAGGGGGATGCAAAATATGTGACCTACATGGCTGTGACAGAGGCGGTTTTGTGGACACCGGAACAATTTGATCTACTTGAAGTTCTGTAGGAGCCATCGGTGCCGGTGGTTTTGGAGTTTGCAGTGGTGATGTAAACGACCTATAATGGAGTCATCAAGTGGTAGCGGAAGTGAAAACTTTGATGGGTTAACAAGGAGATAACAATGTGCATGTGAGCCTCTTTCGCGACTTCCAAAATCAACTAAAGTACGTAGTAAGGGAGAGAGAGAGAGAGAGAGGAAGCAAGCACATGTTAGGTTCCAGGATGTGGTCGAGTTGAGACAGAGGCGAGGATCGGCTTACCGGACTATAACTCGGATATATTGTCTCAGTCGACCTCTTCTGAAACTGAATGAATGCATAGGGTCTTCAATCTCCATAAGCCAGTGATTAGCCCCATCTTTATGAGGAAAGTATCGTGGACAACTGATACGTGTACATTACGGAGCTTGGCAGTGACTAGAGGTGGAGTGTCCCAACAATGGGCAAACGGTTAAATATACTGTGCTTGCTTTCCATTTCCGAAGGAGATAATGACAATTCTTCATATCTGGTAAGGGCTACATACCCCCTCTTCTTGGGTTCAGGTGGTGGTGGTGATAAAGTGCTGGAGGGTAGGGTGGGCGGTACAGGCGGGCGGAGAGGCTTGAGTCGACAGACACCACCAAACACACGCGACCAGGTTACTGATTCGCCGAGGCTTGCACTGGAGGCCAGACGGTAGAGGGCGCAACTGTCGCGGGTGTAAAGAGCACAGACACAAAGGCCCATGTACACGGCGACCATAGCCTCTGCCAAAATACCTAACAGGAAGGACTGTGAACTAGGAGTTCTAGTGCATTCGTCAGGCACAACGAGACCTGAAAAACCCAAGAAGAAAAGGATCAGTGAAATAAAAGACAAAAGGAGGTGAATGATCCAGAAAGCCTTATTCAGCATTTTGATGAATGACCAATGAAGTTGGTTCTACATTTTAACAAAATCAAGTAGTGAATGTATTCAGGTTTTAAAAGTCAATGAAACCATGGCTCACCTGGCCAGTCAGATGGTTCCAAGTTGGGAAACAGTGGTTTGTGCCATTCAGAGAAACGTCCAGCTTAAAAACACAAGAAACACGAATTCCTCGATAACTACAAAAACAGCACATTTTGATGATGTTGAAAGTCACTTGCAATTATTATGCGTTTCAATAAGGCATGCACAAATGTGATTCGCTGCAAAATGAGTTTCTTGACTGTAACGTGGACAGAAAATGCGCATGATAACAAAATACAATGATAAAATTGTAGTACACGAATGAGAGGTCGATTGAGTGACAGCGATAGCGAGTCCTGCGTTGCCCTGACGACACGTCCGCCATGTGCCAGTAGAAAGACACTGGAAAACGTAGGCTGAGAGGGTCATGCACAGATTTCTAAGCAAGCCCACATGACGGACCACACTACTGACATCCGCTATGGCAGCACTATGTACGTCCTTTGTGCTGGAGGTTGGGACGACGCGGACGACTCGCAAATATGGTGGAGTCAAATCGATTAGACTTGCGCATACATCGTTGATCAGAGTCTTTAAAACAAACAAACAAACAAATCAACATTAAATGGGACAAAGGTGAAGGTGAGGATTGGTCCGGTTCTACACAGGCATTTCGCCAACTTATAATGCAACCGAGTAATGAGCAACTAATTAAACGCTTCTGTGATAAATGGCTACAATTATGCGTTGACAAATATGGACGCCGGGAATGGCTACGAAATGTACCTTGATGAGATCCAGAGGTCGGGACATAAGACCCATGAAACCCGGGAAAGCTGCCGAGTGAATGCTCTTTAAGAGAGGGAGCGATGTAAGAAGACGACGTTGTGGTGACAAATCAAGGCGCTCAGAAATGTTGCTAAAGACATCCATCAGCAAGTAAGTCAACTCCATGCGAACAACCCGTAAATCCACACCACTCTCTCCGTGCAGACTGCAGAAGGCAATAAGGCTTTGCACAAACTCAAGGTTCGACTGGAAAAAAAGCGAAGAAAACGACGTGCACAGAAACACTTGCTTCATCACTCCCAGTCGCTCTGGGGTGAAAGTAATTAACGAAATTGGTTACGAGGTAAGCTTTACACTCGTCTCCTGACACAAGTACCAATTAAGGCAGAAGTCTGACTAACCACATACAATACTCGTGCAGTTGAAGAAGACAGAAACTGCCTACCAGTAAACATAAGTATAGACGATTCTCGCAGGTTTTCTGTTGATCACTTTGGGTCGGTAAGGACGGTG